ATTAGAAAGAACTTTTTTAGTGTCAGAGTGATTGACAAATGGAATGCATTAGGGGGTGATGTGGTGGAGGCTGACTCCATACACAGTTTCAAGTGTAGATATGATAGAGCCCAATAGGCTCAGGAACCTGTACACTAGTTGATTGACGGTTGAGAGGCGGGACCAAAGAGCCAGAGCTCAACCCCCGCAAGCACAACTAGGTGAGTACGCTCTCTCATCCCCCCTCCCAGGTAGCTCACTAATGTTCACTTAACATTGACGGTTGAGAGGCGGGACCAAAGAGCCAGAGCTCAACCCCCGCAAGCACAACTAGGTGAGTACACTCTCTCATCCCCCCTCCCTGGTAGCTCACTAATGTTCACTTAACATCTAAATATTGTCTACTTGACAAACACTTATTGAGCACTTGGAGTGCACTTTGTCTACCTTAACCTTGAGATGCCATGATTTCGGGGCTTAGCGTCCCCGCGGCCCGGTCCTCGATCAGTACACATCCCCGGGAAGCAGCCCGTAGCAGCTGTCTAACTCCCAGGTACCTATTGACTGCTAGGTAAAAACGGGCATCAGGGTGAAAGAAACTCTGCCCATATGTTTCCACCGGGGATCGAACCCGAAACCTCAGGAGTACGAATGCCGAGCACTGTCCACTGAGCCGTCAGGCCCCCCACATCAGGCCTGACATAGAGAGTTGCAGGAATCTGACGCCAAAGTTTCTTGATGAATTCCGTGAAGACAATCAAGGAATATAGAGAAATATGAATAACCTGATCGTACACTGTTACTTAACTCTACGAGAGGTCGTAAGACTTACGACACAGTCTCGGCGTAAGACTTACGACACAGTCTCGGCGTAAGACTTACGACGCCGTCTCGGCGTAAGACTTACGACACAGTCTCGGCGTAAGACTTACGACGCAGTCTCGGCGAAAGACTTACGACACAGTCTCGGCGTAAGACTTACGACGCAGTCTCGGCGTAAGACTTACGACGCCGTCTCGGCGTAAGACTTACGACACAGTCTCGGCGTAAGACTTACGACGCAGTCTCGGCGTAAGACTTACGACGCCGTCTCGGCGTAAGACTTACGACGCCGTCTCGGCGTAAGACTTACGACGCCGTCTCGGCGTAAGACTTACGACACAGTCTCGGCGTAAGACTTACGACGCAGTCTCGGCGTAAGACTTACGACGCAGTCTCGGCGTAAGACTTACGACGCCGTCTCGGCGTAAGACTTACGACGCAGTCTCGGCGTAAGACTTACGACACCGTCTCGGCGTAAGACTTACGACGCAGTCTCGGCGTAAGACTTACGACACAGTCTCGGCGTAAGACTTACGACACAGTCTCGGCGTAAGACTACTAACATCCGGGTCCTGGAACTTCTCACACTCAACAAACAAAATGGCGACGCAAGGAAGGGTTCCCCAAGGTGCTCCTCACAATATTACCCCTGTACCCACCTCAGCCGCACACGCACGCATGCACACACACACACGCCCAGCATGCACGCACGCACACGCCCAGCATGCACGCACGCACACGCCCAGCATGCACGCACACACACACACACACACACACACACACACACACACACACACACACACACACACACACACACGCCCTCACACACGCGCGCACACACACACAGCACGCACGCACGCACACACACACACACACACACACACACACACACACACACACACACACACACACACACACACACACACGCCCTCACACACGCGCACACACACACACAGCACGCACGCACGCACGCACACACACACACACACACACACACACACACACACACACACACACACACGCCCTCACACACGCGCACACACACACACAGCACGCACGCACACACACACACACAGCACGCACGCACACACACACACACACAGCACGCACGCACGCACACACACACACAGCACGCACGCACACACACACACAGCACGCACGCACACACACACACGCCCAGCACACACACACGCACGCACACTCACGACAGGTTGGATAACAAGGACCTTCCAACAAGGGCCGCCATACTAATGATGATAGTTTTCAAGACACAAGTGCTCTCTAGGGTGGAACATTGTTGCACACTAACAGCCCCATTCAGAGCCGGCGACAGTCCTGACCTGGAGAACATACAGAGATCCATCACAGTCTATCCAGCAGTCTATCCCAAAGCTTACTTAAATCTGCTTGATCTGCTTGATGGGGTTCTGGGAGTTCTACTGCCCAAGCCCGGCCCGAGGCCAGGCTTGACTTGTGAGAGTTTGGTCCACCAGGCTGTTGCTTGGAGCGGCCCGCAGGCCCACCACAGCCCGGTTGGTCCGGCACTCCTTGGAGGAAACTATCTAGTTTCCTCTTGAAGATGTCCACGGTTGTTCCGGCAATATTACTTGCTGGGAGGACGTTGAACAACCGCGGACCTCTGATATTTATACAGTGTTCTCTGATTGTGCCTATGGCACCTCTGCTCTTCACTGGACCTCTGATGTTCATACAGTGTTCTCTGATTGTGCCTATGGCACCTCTGCTCTTCACTGGACCTCTGATGTTTATACAGTGTTCTCTGATTGTGCCTATGGCACCTCTGCTCTTCACTGGACCTCTGATGTTTATACAGTGTTCTCTGATTGTGCCTATGGCACCTCTGCTCTTCACTGGACCTCTGATGTTTATACAGTGTTCTCTGATTGTGCCTATGGCACCTCTGCTCTTCACTGGTTCTATTCTGCATTTTCTTCCATATCGTTCACTCCAGTACGTTGTTATTTTACTGTGTAGATTTGGGACCTGACCCTCCTGTATTTTCCATGTGTATATTATTTGGTATCTCTCTCGTCTCCTTTCTAGAGAGTACATTTGGAGAGCTTTGAGACGATCCCAATAATTAAGGTGCTTTATCTCGTCTATGCGTGCCGTATATGTTCTCTGTATTCCCTCTATTTCAGCAATCTCTCCTGCTCTGAAGGGGGAAGTGAGTACTGAGCAGTACTCGAGACGGGACAACACAAGTGACTTGAAGAGTACAACCATTGTGATGGGATCCCTGGATTTGAAAGTTCTCGTAATCCATCCGATCATTTTTCTGGCTGACGCAATATTTGCTTGGTTATGTTCCCTAAACGTTAGGTCGTCGGACATCATTATTCCCAAATCCTTGACATGTTGTTTTCCTACTATGGGCAGATTTGATTGTGTTTTGTACCCTGTATTATGTTTAAGATCCTCATTTTTACCGTACCTGAGTACCTGAAATTTATCACTGTTAAACATCATGTTATTTTCTGCTGCCCAATCAAAAAATTTATTAATATCTGCTTGTAGTTTTTCAATGTCTTCAGCACAGGTAATTTTCATGCTGATTTTTGTGTCATCTGCAAAGGATGATACGAAGCTGTGACTTGTATTTTTGTCTATATCTGATATGAGAATAAGGAACAGCAGTGGTGCAAGGACTGTACCTTGGGGTACAGAGCTTTTACCTGCGCTTGGACTAGATTTTATTTGATTGACTTATTCTCGGTTAGGTTAGATTGGGTTGGGTTGGGTTAGGATGGGTTAGGTTCGGTTCGATTAGGTTAGGGTGGGTTGGGTTGGGTTGGGTTAGGTTAGGTTAGGTTAGGTTGGGATAGGTAGGGTTAGGTTCGGATAAGTTGGGTTGGGTTAGGCTAGGTTAGGTTGGGTAGGGTTAAGTTAGGTTAAGTTGTGGAAACTGAAAGGAAGCTGGCAGCAGGAGCAGCAGGAGCAGCAGCAGGAGCAGCAGGAGCAGCAGCAGCAGCAGGAGCAGCAGCAGCAGCAGCAGCAGCAGCAGGAGCAGCAGCAGCAGCAGGAGCAGCAGCAGCAGCAGCAGCAGCAGCAGTAGCAGCAGCAGCAGCAGCAGCAGGAGCAGCAGCAGCAGGAGCAGCAGCAGCAGCAGCAGGAGCAGGAGCAGCAGCAGCAGCAGCAGGAGCAGCAGCAGCAGGAGCAGCAGCAGCAGCAGCAGCAGGAGCAGCAGCAGCAGCAGCAGCAGCAGCAGGAGCAGGAGCAGCAGCAGCAGCAGCAGCAGGAGCAGCAGCAGGAGCAGCAGCAGCAGCAGGAGCAGCAGCAGGAGCAGGAGCAGCAGCAGCAGCAGCAGCAGCAGGAGCAGCAGCAGCAGGAGCAGGGGCTTCCATCACCCCTCCACCATAACACACCATCATAACTGCTGTTGTTGAACAGGAGTATATAACGTGCCTCTAGACTCCGTGATATTATCGGCAGTGTCCTCTCACTGAGCATTTGTGTGTGTTGCTGCCAAACCTGTCAGGTAAACCCGGCAACTTGCCGGCCAACAGTCAACAGCTGACGTGCGTGCGTCAGCGTGCACCATCGCGCACTCTACTTCAGGACGAGTCCAACACCACACACTCACCTTCAGGACGAGTCCAACTCCACACACTCTACTTCAGGACGAGTCCAACACCACACACTCTACTTCAGGACGAGTCCAACACCACGCACTCTACTTCAGGACGAGTCCAACTCCACACACTCTACTTCAGGACGAGTCCAACACCACACACTCACCTTCAGGACGAGTCCAACACCACACACTCACCTTCAGGACGAGTCCAACACCACACACTCACCTTCAGGACGAGTCCAACACCACACACTCACCTTCAGGACGAGTCCAACACCACACACTCTACTTCAGGACGAGTCCAACACCACACACTCTACTTCAGGAGGAGTCCAACACCACGCACTCTACTTCAGGACGAGTCCAACACCACACACTCTACTTCAGGAGGAGTCCAACACCACGCACTCTACTTCAGGACGAGTCCAACACCACACACTCTACTTCAGGACGAGTCCAACACCACACACTCTACTTCAGGACGAGTCCAACACCACACACTCACCTTCAGGACGAGTCCAACACCACACACTCTACTTCAGGACGAGTCCAACACCACGCACTCACCTTCAGGACGAGTCCAACACCACACACTCTACTTCAGGACGAGTCCAGCACCACGCACTCACCTTCAGGACGAGTCCAACACCACACACTCTACTTCAGGACGAGTCCAACACCACACACACTCACCGGAGGACGAGTCCAATACTCACCGCCCACCGGAGGACGAGTCCAATACTCACCGCCCACCGGAGGACGAGTCCAATACTCACCGCCCACCGGAGGACGAGTCCAATACTCACCGCCCACCGAAGGACGAGTCCAATACTCACCGCCCACCGGAGGACGAGTCCAATACTCACCGCCCACCGGAGGACGAGTCCAATACTCACCGCCCACCGGAGGACGAGTCCAATACTCACCGCCCACCGGAGGACGAGTCCAATACTCACCGCCCACCGGAGGACGAGTCCAATACTCACCGCCCACCGGAGGACGAGTCCAATACTCACCGCCCACCGGAGGACGAGTCCAATACTCACCGCCCACCGGAGGACGAGTCCAATACTCACCGCCCACCGGAGGACGAGTCCAATACTCACCGCCCACCGGAGGACGAGTCCAATACTCACCGCCCACCGGAGGACGAGTCCAATACTCACCGCCCACCGGAGGACGAGTCCAATACTCACCGCCCACCGGAGGACGAGTCCAATACTCACCGCCCACCGGAGGACGAGTCCAATACTCACCGCCCACCGGAGGACGAGTCCAATACTCACCGCCCACCGGAGGACGAGTCCAATACTCACCGCCCACCGGAGGACGAGTCCAATACTCACCGCCCACCGGACGCACTCCCAATCACTCCACTCACCTGAAAACGAAAACAAAACAATATTAATACAGGTTCAGGTCGCCATCATTAAGCACGCCATATGTGTAACCCAAGTTACGTTGGCATAGAGATAACAGTGTTATCTAGAGTAACATCTAGGTGTTATCTTACTTGCCTAAGTGCTTGACTACCTGCTTCATGAATCTGGCCCCTGGGTCGTAAATGCTTGCCTAACGGCTTCGTAAATCTGACCCCAGGTTCAGACATGTTGAGAGCACTTTGGTAGGTCAGTTTCTTAACGTAGGGGACGCTGGTAAGACCCGCCTGCTTCTACAGCGAGAGTGGTTCACCAGCTGAAGCCAGACGGGCTCGCCATAGCCCGTGCTACATGGACACTTCCTTCTGAGCAGCTAAATCTGAACCAACACAACAACGCTGAAGCCAGACGGGCTCGCCATAGCCCGTGCTACATGGACACTTCCTTCTGAGCAGCTAAAACTGAACCAACACAACAACGCTGAAGGCAGGCGCAGCTTCACGGTCTCTCATAATACAGGATAAACACAGAAGAACTTTGCCAATAATATTGAAGAAAGTAAAGGATTAAAACCACCACTTTGATATTATAGTCTTTGATATGAGACCAGACGGACACAACACATCGACAATCAATACTGCTTTTAATGTTACCGTTGTTCAAATTTACTGCTGTTATCTAAAATAGGTACCTGGGAGTTAGTCAGCTGTCACGGGCTGCTTCCTGGGGTGGAGGCCCTGGTCTAGAACCGGGCCGCGGAGACGCTAAGCCCCGGAATCACCTCAAGGTAGGTAAGGAGTGTCTTATAATGAACGCCGTCTGAGCCGGCCACCGTTAAAACCTAGACGGAGAAAGAGAGCGTTGAGAAAGAGAGAAAGAGAGCGTTGAGAAAGAGAGAAAGAGAGCGTTGAGAAAGAGAGAAAGAGAGCGTTCAGAAAGAGAGAAAGAGAGCGTTGAGAAAGAGAGAAAGAGAGCGTTCAGAAAGAGAGCGTTGAGAAAGAGAGAAAGAGAGCGTTCAGAAAGAGAGAAAGAGAGCGTTGAGAAAGAGAGAAAGAGAGCGTTCAGAAAGAGAGCGTTGAGAAAGAGAGAAAGAGAGCGTTCAGAAAGAGAGAAAGAGAGCGTTGAGAAAGAGAGAAAGAGAGCGTTCAGAAAGAGAGAAAGAGAGCGTTGAGAAAGAGAGAAAGAGAGCGTTCAGAAAGTGAGAAAAGATCATAACAGGAGTTGTGAATGTGCGTTAAAGTTTAAGGGATTCAATCAAGTTAGGGGGCGGGGGGGGGGCTGACAGCTGAGTGGACAACGCTTCGGATTCGTAGTCCTGAGGTTCCAGGTTCGATCCCCGGTGGAGGCGGAGACAAATGGGCAAACTGTTTCTTTCACCCTAATGCCCCTGTTACCTAGCAGTAAATAGGTACCAGGGAGTTAGTCAGCTGCTCCTGGGGATGTGTAACAAAAGGAGGCCTGGTCGAGGACCGGGCCGCGGGGACGCTAAGCCCCGGAATCCTCAAGATAACTCAAGATACAGGAGTTAACAAGTAAGAAGAGTTAGAGGCGCACCAGGGGTAACTGTTAACAAGTGCCAACACGGTTCCGTCGCCACTAACAGCGGATCTCACGCAACAGAATTATGGAGGTAAATGATGGACAAAAATGTCTGAGACAAATTTACCTGTAACTGTACAGATTGTCTTACAGGTGTGAGTAATGGCGGTGACATAAGGGGCCAGACTCACGAAGGTGTTACGCAAGCACTTACGAACCTGGGGCCAGACTCACGAAGGTGTTACGCAAGCACTTACGAACCTGGGGCCAGACTCACGAAGGTGTTACGCAAGCACTTACGGACCTGGGGCCACATTCACGAAGGTGTTACGCAAGCACTTACGAACGTGTACATCTTTCCTCAATCTTTGACGGCTTTGGTTACATTTATTAAACAGTTCACAAGCATTAAAACTTGCCAATCAACTGTTGTTATTGTTATAAACAGCCTCCTGGTGCTTCCGAGCTCATTAACTGTTTAATAATTGTAAACAAAGCCGCCAAAGATTGAGAAAAGATGGACAGGTTCGCAAGTTCTTGCGTAACTGCTTCGTGAATCTGGACTCCAGGTTCGTAAGTGCTTGTGTAACTGCTTCGTGAATCTGGCCCCAGGTTCGTAAGTGCTTGTGTAACCGCTTCGTGAATCTGGCCCCAGGTTCGTAAGTGCTTGCGTAACTGCTTCGTGAATCTGGCCCAAGATTTGAAGCTCTCACGCTAAGCCGTCCAGCCAACAGCGGCACCCAACCACTTGGGCTGGACGGTAGAGCGTCGGTCTCAGTTCATGCGGGTCGGCGTTCAATCCCCCGACCGTCCAAGTCATTGGCCACCATTCCTTCCATCCCAAATCCATATCCTGACCCCTTCCCAGTGCTACATAGTCGTAATAGCTAGCTACTTTCCCCTGATAATGTCCCTAGCCGTATAGACAGGCCTACGGGTCACTTGCCTTCTGAATTACAATATATGAGGGAGAGGTTCAGCATCAATACACAGGGAGAGGTTCAGCATCAGTACACAGGGAGAGGTTCAGCATCAATACACAGGGAGAGGTTCAGCATCAGTACACAGGGAGAGGTTCAGCATCAGTACACAGGGAGAGGTTCAGCATCAGTACACAGGGAGAGGTTCAGCATCAGTACACAGGGACAGGTTCAGCATCAGTACACAGGGAGAGGTTCAGCATCAATACACAGGGAGAGGTTCAGCATCAGTACACAGGGAGAGGTTCAGCATCAATACACAGGGACAGGTTCAGCATCAGTACACAGGGAGAGGTTCAGCATCAGTACACAGGGAGAGGTTCAGCATCAATACACAGGGAGAGGTTCAGCATCAATACACAGGGAGAGGTTCAGCATCAGTACACAGGGAGAGGTTCAGCATCAGTACACAGGGACAGGTTCAGCATCAGTACACAGGGAGAGGTTCAGCATCAATACACAGGGAGAGGTTCAGCATCAGTACACAGGGAGAGGTTCAGCATCAATACACAGGGACAGGTTCAGCATCAGTACACAGGGAGAGGTTCAGCATCAATACACAGGGAGAGGTTCAGCATCAATACACAGGGACAGGTTCAGCATCAGTACACAGGGAGAGGTTCAGCATCAATACACAGGGAGAGGTTCAGCATCAATACACAGGGATATGTTCAGCATCAATACACAGGGAGAGGTTCAGCATCAATACACAGGGACAGGTTCAGCATCAATACACAGGGAGAGGTTCAGCATCAGTACACAGGGAGAGGTTCAGCATCAATACACAGGGATATGTTCAGCATCAATACACAGGGAGAGGTTCAGCATCAATACACAGGGACAGGTTCAGCATCAATACACAGGGAGAGGTTCAGCATCAATACACAGGGAGAGGTTCAGCATCAATACACAGGGACAGGTTCAGCATCAATACACAGGGAGAGGTTCAGCATCAGTACACAGGGAGAGGTTCAGCATCAATACACAGGGAGAGGTTCAGCATCAATACACAGAGACAGGTTCAGCATCAATACACAGGGAGAGGTTCAGCATCAGTACACAGGGAGAGGTTCAGCATCAATACACAGGGAGAGGTTCAGCATCAATACACAGGGAGAGGTTCAGCATCAGTACACAGGGAGAGGTTCAGCATCAATACACAGGGAGAGGTTCAGCATCAGTACACAGGGAGAGGTTCAGCATCAATACACAGGGACAGGTTCAGCATCAATACACAGGGAGAGGTTCAGCATCAATACACAGGGAGAGGTTCAGCATCAGTACACAGGGAGAGGTTCAGCATCAATACACAGGGAGAGGTTCAGCATCAGTACACAGGGAGAGGTTCAGCATCAATACACAGGGACAGGTTCAGCATCAGTACACAGGGAGAGGTTCAGCATCAGTACACAGGGAGAGGTTCAGCATCAGTACACAGGGAGAGGTTCAGCATCAGTACACAGGGAGAGGTTCAGCATCAATACACAGGGACAGGTTCAGCATCAGTACACAGGGAGAGGTTCAGCATCAGTACACAGGGAGAGGTTCAGCATCAGTACACAGGGAGAGGTTCAGCATCAATACATGATGAAGCCAAGAGTAATCACCTTGAGAACCATCCATCAACACTAACCGGTTCCCAGAACGCCCCCCCCCCACAAGCAGGAGGCAGGCCAGGCTTCACAAAACAACTTGAAAACGCAGCCACCTATGCTAATTGCATCTCCAACCGGGCGACTGTTGCTTGCCGGCCGTGAACACTTGCAAGATTGTCGCAGCTTTCACTAAACTTACAGCTTTGTTAGTGCATTACGTGGTGTGGTGGCTAGGGGTGGTAGGTGGTTGATTAAGGGGGTGGTTGGTGGTTGATTAAGGGGGGTGGTAGGTGGTTGATTAAGGGGGTGGTTGGTGGTTGATTAAGGGGGGTGGTTGGTGGTTGATTAAGGGGGTGGTTGGTGGTTGATTAAGGGGGTGGTAGGTGGTTGATTAAGGGGGTGGTTGGTGGTTGATTAAGGGGGTGGTTGGTGGTTGATTAAGGGGGGTGGTTGGTGGTTGATTAAGGGGGGTGGTAGGTGGCTGATTAAGGGGGTGGTTGGTGGTTGATTAAGAGGGTGGTTGGTGGTTGATTAAGGGGGTGGTTGGTGGTTGATTAAGAGGGGTGGTTGGTGGTTGATTAAGGGGGGTGGTTGGTGGTTAAGGGGGTGGTTGGTGGTTGATTAAGGGGGGTGGTTGGTGGTTGATTAAGGGGGGTGGTTGATTAAGGGGGTGGTTGGTGGTTGATTAAGAGGGGTGGTTGGTGGTTGATTAAGGGGGTGGTTGGTGGTTGATTAAGAGGGGTGGTTGGTGGTTGATTAAGGGGGTGGTTGGTGGTTGATTAAGAGGGGTGGTTGGTGGTTGATTAAGGGGGGTGGTTGGTGGTTGATTAAGGGGGTGGTTGGTGGTTGATTAAGGGGGGTGGTTGGTGGTTGATTAAGGGGGGTGGTTGAT